GAATTCATAAGACCAATCAGATACTGGTAAAATTTGTCCTCGAAAATGTATTACGTAATGCAAGGTGTAATCTAGAATGGGTGACTAATTGGACATTAGAAAAGGGGAAGAAGTTGGGATGACGTGATAAGTGAGAGAAATTGACTAATCAATAAGGTCGTGTAGAATGGACAGGAACTAGTGGAAAGGCGATAAAGTGCTTTTATAAAATCTGTATGAAAACTCAGTGTTATTAATAAACAGTAATAGAGTGATAATGAAATAAGGATAATAAGAATAATAACGATGAAAAATTATAGTAGTCAACTTACATGATAAAATGAAGCAACCGGACATCTGAACCTGTGGTTCAGCAGTAGAACGCTTGCCAACCACTCACGTAGTCCGTGGTTAGACCCTCGACCGATGCACGCCTAAATCTTGCTAGGCTGATAGTGAGTCCGGTAAAGCGTGATGGCTAGCAACACCACTCTGTGAAAATAAAACCACTGCTACCGCAACTTTAGATCTGTAGCTTGAAGCCTTTTGTAATAATCCGAAAGTAAAGAAATAAAAATAACCGGAGCTCCGCATTTAAAAGCAATACATGCATTACTCACCCTACCGTGACTACAGTAACGTCCATACTTTAATTTTCCTTCATTTTATTATGTAAGTTTATTATTTTTTTACCGTTATTATTCTGATCATCCTTATGTTATTATCACCCTATTACTGTTCATTATTAACATTACGTTTTCATACAGATTTTATACAAAAACACTTTATAGCCTTTCCACTAGTTTTTGTCCACTCTACACAATCATACTGATTACTCATTTTCTCACACTCATTGAGTATATATATATATATATATATATATATATATATATATATATATATATATATACTCGAGTTCGAAAGCATTTGTTTCCCGATAAAAGTTTAAAACTAAAGGCAAAAGTTTGTAGACATTCACTGATGTCATCCTGAGAATGTAATTTGATATATACTGACTTTTGTAGAGGCAGGTGTAGGAACAAGCGTTTTATTTCAACCATTTTCGGAATACTCGTCGTTAGTGCCCTTTTGGATAACCTCTTTCAATCAAAATACCTGGACCTTGAAAATCCGACATTTATTGCTCCATTTCCTGTTTCAAGTTTTTAATTGCCCTGATTCTATCTAACCCTACAATTTGCTTGACTGATTTATACAGGTAACTGAAAATAGTCACACAAACCAAAATAACATTCTGGATTGTTTTCAAAAGAAACCATTGGGAACGGTTATTACCGTATCTTGTCCATTTATTATTTCCACCTTGATTTGTGCTTCTTACGAAGCTTTGGTTTATCTGAATTAATGATTGTGTAAAACGTCATTCAAGTGACACCGGTGTATATAGATTACAAAGTTGCTACAGTATTTCTTTCACTGACAAATGAAATTTTGGAAGGCATGAAATAATATCATTTTATGTGATTGTATAATTCTTGATTAATTCAAAATGTGTATGAAAGGAAGTGTTACAGAAATAGTGTCTAATCCCTTTTCTTAATAAAGTAATAATCCGATATTTACTTTTGAGTAATTACCCCAAAACATTTCAGCAAAGTAAACCCAGATACAATACTGTGAAGCTGAGGCTTACTCTGGGGTGAAAAAAACTACTAATTAAAGCACTCGACCGAGAAAGTGTCAGTATTAATAGTAGAGTCTTGAAATTATGTTCCCATGGATAAATGTCCATTTTACATACTTTATAAAGCACTTATGTTGTAAGTGATGGAGAATACCCATCAGGACATTAGAATGTTGGCTATAAATCTCTTATATAGTAGTAATTCGTTGATTTTAAGATTCCATTTCGGAAACTAAATATGAAGTATTTTACCCAAAGCTGGCCAAGTGGAGTGCCCATGGCAATTCTACCTTTTTGTCTGTTTGTATCATGGGATACGCGCCTCTGTAAGATCTTTCATTTCACGATGAAAATTCATACTGAAGTCCATCCTAAAATTGATCAATTGTCCACTAATTCCTGTCCCTTTTCAATAAGCTTATGGGAATTCAGACTTGACTCTGATATACCAAGGAAACAGATGAATAGGATTTGAAAAAAGATGCATTTTGGGTAGGTCGGTGGTTCACTTGTATAATGCTTGACAGCTACATACGTAAGCCAGGTACGATTCCCATCAACACAGTCCTATAACTCGCCTAGCTTAGTACTGGTAGCAAGACCAAATAAGTGGAAAAGTTAGGCGTGATTCTGACAATCCCATCCCGTGTAAACAACACCACCAGTATGGAACTTTCAAAAGCTTTAACCCATATATTCCACTTAGAACACAAGGAATGAGAACAAAATGGATACGAAAAGGTTAATGGAAGGTTCGATCAGATTATGTTTACCTGACACAAACTTTAACCGTACAAATTTTATCATTGTTGTTACTATAGAGCCGAATTCATTTCAGAATATATGTAAGCTCACAGTTATGAGAACCAGGTTGCGGGCTTTATTTTGTCCGGAGCTCATTATCCAAGTTTACCTGAGTCTCAGTTTTGATATTTTTAATCTGAGTACAGCTCAGCACTCAGAGCTTCAATCACCGTATTATTGTCTATTAGGATAATGAGTTGCGACAGATACATTCTAATCAGTAATCAGTTGAATACTGGAATGTCCATCTTTGCGGGGCTGAAGTGATTATTGTCCTTTTCATTGATCCAGAAACTCCTATATTTTCCGTAATGAGATTTCTATGTTTCTTCCGAACGGCTTTACAGAAACCAAAGTAACATTTAGCACAAGAAATGAATTTCCTTCATTCTACGATGCATATCAGTACATCAGTGAAATGTAGTGGTCACCAGTTTGAGTGAAGTAACATCCTAGATTGGTTTGAGAAGGAGAAGGAGACGCTGAGCTCAACATACACAGCATTGGACAAAGTAGTGGAGAAGAGTGCTAGGAAGGACAAAAGACGATTCTACGACAACCTCGCCACTGAAGCTGAGAAGGCAGCAGGCAAAAGGGACCTGAGGACATTACATCAGATAACCAAATCTTTACTCGGGAAGAGATCAACACAAGCGAAACCTATGAAAGACAGCCAAGGTAACCCAATTACCAAGGAAGAAAAAGAGATTAAACAATGGGCGGATCACTTCAAAGGACTCTTGAACCGACCATCACCTGCAACCCGTGCAGAAATACCAACAACAGCGCGCACACAACTGCAAGTTGACACCAATCCTCCAACGAGAGCTGAAGTCTTGAACGCAACCAAACTTCTGAAAGCTGGAAAAACAGCCGGACCAGATGGAATACCCCCTGAAGCACTGAAAGCAGACCCAGAGACGACAGCAGACATGCTGACTCCATTATTGCAAAAGGTCTGGAAGGAGGGAAAGGTGCCTACAGACTGGAGGAAAGGTTACCTCGTGAAACTACCAAAGAAGGGCGACTTAGGACTGTGCAAGAACTGGCGAGGAATCATGCTCCTCCGACCAGAACAAGCTGGATTCAGGAAAGGCAAATCATGTACTGACCAAATTGCAACTCTACGCATCATCATCACAGAACAAAGCATGGAATGGCCATCAATCAAACCTCTACCTCAACTTTATAGACTTTGAGAACGCCTTCGACAGCGTTGACCGCGAAGTAATTAGGAAACTACTCGAGCACTAGGGCGTACCCGAAATACTCATCAACCCTATTCAACAGCTGTACGACAACGGCACATGTCAAGTCATCCACAACGGAGTAAACACAGGAGTCAGACAAGGGTGCTTATTATCACCAATGAATGATATTCCTAATTGTGGTGGACTGAATTATGCGTCGGACAGTGAGTGAGAAACGAGAAAACAGGGATATCCCGGACCAACGTGAAGAACTTAGAAGACTTGGATTTCGCACGTGGATGATTTATATTTGATGTTACACAAAATCGAGGACTTACAAGCGAAAACCAACAAACTGGTCGAAGAAGCAGCCGGCGAAGACAGGACTCCAGGTGAACATAGAGAAGATGGAGGTTATGAAAATAACCAACCAACCGACCACCACCAACAACAACAGAAACATCCAGCGCCAATCACCATCAACGGAAGGGATTTGAAAGAGGTCACTTCATTCACTTATCTAGGGAGGGAGCATTGTCTTAACTACAGGAATTCGGAACGGACGAGGATGTGAAATCGAGAATCGGGAAGGCGAGAAACACATTCATCAACCTGAAACAAATTCGGAAATCTTCGTCACTCAGCCAGCATCAACAAGAAAATTCGGTCTGATTTTCAATACGAACGTCAAGTCAGTCAGTTCTTCTATACGGATCAGAAACTTGGCGGGCGGGTCACAAAGAATATTTCCAACAGCCTGTTGCAGACCAGACCTTTATTAACAACTGTCAGCTATCGGTCTATACTGAAGATCAAATGGCCGAGCCGGAAAGAATCACCAACAAGAAACTATTTGAACAAACAAAACAAGAACCAATCGCCCAACTACAACAAATATGCAGGAGAAAGTGGAGGTGGATAGACTACTCGCTGAGGAGACCGCCGGGTGACATCGCGCATCAAGCCCTCGAAAGGAACCCGAAAGGGTTCCACCAAAGTATGCCACAGAATTTAGACTATAATCGACATATAATTCTGAATTGTTCTTAGGCCCAAAGTCACCTTTACCCAAGACTGAAACTATGCCAATCATGAACCGGGGCTGGGACAAGCGATGTATTACACCTAGAAACTGATAAGGTTATATCACTATCAATTCCAAATCATCCACCTGAGTTACAAATCTTTTCTATTATTTCAAGGTTATATTTTAACGAAATTTTTTGTGTTCATGAAAACATTTTCCGGACAACTGTAAGTTTAAATTTGGTAGAACTCCAGTTGCATAAGTTCACCTAAAATTGTCGACTTATTAAGGATAAATTTCGTCATTTCCAATCGGCGGATGCAAAACAAAAATTTATTTTTAAAAATTTATAATTGTTGTTATTAATGGAAGGTAGGAGATCAAAATGGAAGTAGAGCAGTTTTATAAATTACATGAATTACTGTTATTACCATTATTATTTACAAATACAGTTCTATTGTGTCAGTTACATATATATATGTGGAAGATACAATAATTTCAGTGCATGCATTAAAATGTATGCATATCACACTGATGAAGAGATTGGTATTCAGTGTACTGAATATAATAGGCTATCTGTAACTATTGCCAATTATTGTTTATATAATTCAGTGTCTGATCATTATCATTACTATCTATTGAGAATATAATAAGGAATTAGATAAACAGACAAGTAAAGCGATAATACTAGAATTTAAAGTAAACGAATGCAAATCATAGTAGAAATAGAACAGCAATCGAGGAAAATGATAGAGGTACAAACTCACAAATACACACATACACACACGGGATACAAACTTGAAAACACTCACCCATTCTTTCCAAGGGTGAGTATCAAAACCTTAATCATACGAAATATTACATCAGCTAATGAAAAATGTAAGAAAAGGTGAAGAGAAGAAAAGAAAAGAACAAGACTGTAAAGATTATCTTTTACGTGTACTCGCTAGAAGTATTAATAACCATTATTTATATATATATATATATCTATATGAGCATAACCGTACTTGTAGTGAAAACATTGAAGTATGTTTCTGTAGAAGAAGTGAGCAGTTGAACGGTAATTAATTAAGGATTTGTGCTACACGATGTGGTATGATTAACTTGAAAGTCAAATTTAGAATGATCACAATAAAACAAAAGAAAAAAATAATAGACTCTACTGTATGAAATGCAAAACACTACCACTCTCAGCTAACAAGAGTAATGATGATAATATTAGTAATAATAATACTACAACTAACACTACTAGCAGCAGTATCTTTAATACCATCAGTGTTTAGGGATATAAAGTGTTGTTGTTTTTTTCTTTTACATGCTCATCAGCACTTTGAGAAAACAAAATAAAGTTGGCAGAAAAAAAACGGAGACAAAATAATTAGCGTGGATGCTAGAAGGAAAGCAAAATGAAGAATCCGCAAAGTAAAAATTTCAAATTTCAAAATCAAATCATTGGAAAAACAAAATCAACCACCACTTGCAAGTAATCTAATAGAAAACAAACAATGAGGGAAGAAAGGAAGAAGGAAACAAATTTCCGGTCTCTTTCTCCATATTTTTATTAAAAATTTACCTTTTTGTCACAAATTATTGAATATCAACGAATATCAGAGAGATGCATGCATATTTGATATTTTTTTTCTTTCTTTTTTTTAAGATGGGAGTGAGTCATTTTCAGAAATCTTAGCCTCCACTGTCAGTTCTGTTGGTGTTTCCTTTTCACAATCGGTACTTTGAGTTGTTTTAACAGCTGAAGTAAAAGGGTTTTTTGAAAAAAAAACAGATCACCATTTTCGTCACATTATATATATATATTTACTGTTGAAAACAAGCTGATGACAATGGGATGAGAAATTAGTGCTTCTATAAATCACCAAATATTGACTCGAAAAGTTTAAATGTTAATATGTGTTGATAACGAACAATCGTTACCGGATACGGATGATTTTTTCGTGCGTATCATTTGCCTGTTCACTAAGTTTGTTGACAGCAGCTGCCATAAATCTGTTATGAAACGCTGCTGTTCACCATGATACATGGAAATTCTATATCAGACGATAGGATTCAAATGGGCAGTTATGACCTCTAATATATGTGTAAAACTTGCACACTTCGTTAGTAAGTAATTCCATTTTAATTTGTTTAGTAGATGCATGACGCAGTGAAATAGTATTATTTACTGGATGACGTTTCGAACAAAATTTATTGTTCATAATAATAGCAGTTATAATCACACAACTTCAAAACTTGAGTTTAGTAGTTTCCTTTGTTCCCTCCTATTTCTCTTCATTGGGGTAGTAGAATTTTCCAGATATCTGAGACAGGTGTTGAATCATTCCCATTATACATGTTTGCAGTTGATTCGATAAACAAAGCTTCTGTCATCAATCTCTCCCTATTCCCTGTGACATTAGATTTTAAAACTGTCATCCTATACCATCCTATTGTATGGTTGTGTGTGACTGCATGTAGTGCTATAGCTGAACTTTTCTCTAGATTTCTTATCCTATTAGGGTCAACCAATCTAGATTTAGCTAGGGTTTTATGTTCGGCTAGTCTGACTGCCCCTGTCCTACTAGTTTGACCTGACAGTTATTTCAGACAGGGTATTAGATAAACTAAATTGTTTTGTTTTAAAGGCTCCACAGGATCCTTTAACCAATAAAGCTGGTTTCTAACTGAGTTTGTGGGTTTGAATGCCTTGTTAAGAATTCAGCAGAAAGTGGTTTCCGAGGTTCCTTCCTTGTATGGAATTACTACTGGTGATTTAGATTCCTCATTGTTGGTGTTGTCTTGCACATGTTTGACATGCATGTCGTCATTAATATTACTACCATTATTATTATTATTATTATTATCACTATCACTAGTATCATTATTTATTTTATTTTCACATTTCATTACATTTTTACATTCACTATGTGATAATAAACAAATTAGTATGGAATAACCTCTAAAGCCTAAAGGTAAAAATCCCAACTTTTACACCAAGTTACATACATATGGCTGTCAGAATGGGGTGGAGAGTGCTCTTAAGTTTCTGTAATGAAGGTCAACATATTCAAAGTTTTCTGTTTAGTGATCTTGAGTATCCACTAAATAATCCACTGTAAGAGTGTTCGGGCTAAAATTATCGCGTGGGCATACAGGACTATAGTAAATAGTAGGTATACTTTTTTTATATTTTGGTTGTGTTCTCTGAACTGGTTGATTTAATAGTAAAGCTTTCGTTGTACAACTGGACAACATCTTTGGCGCAGGGTTTATTGTAATATGAACTTGTTTGAATTCTCTATGACAGATGTAATTGTATCGCCTGATAATCATTGTTGTGTTGGTTGTCAATTTACATTGTGCCGATTTTGGAGCATGTTGCGCACACACTATAACTGTCAATTTCTAAACATACTTAATACCAGACAGCTGGTAATCTTAGCAAAGCGCTTTTAACAGTGGTAGATGACTTCATTTATAAATGTCATGTCAAGTTCGTTGCGACATATATCATGCTGAATTACTAAAGCGTAAAGGTTTGACTTCGCATCGCGTGACCAGGTAACGAAATATGTTCTTTAAAATGGAATAACCATAAGTGCATTTATTTCATAAAAACTGTAGAAAAGTAAAATCACATTAGTAAGCAGGCCACTAGCAAATTTTGCCACTCTCACATTCTTACATTTAAAGTGCACGGTAAATACCGCCTGATAGCATGAACAGTCAGAAGGTGTTTGAAACCAACTGGTGGTGTTCACTAGACACAGTTTAATATAACCACAGCGCAAATGAAATTAATCGATTTAACTATACTGTCGACACAATTGTTTCTCAAACAACAATTAATTTAAATACCATGGATTAACCCACAATGGGTTTGCCAGATGACATCTGAGCTTCCTAGGTATTCATTCCTTAATTTATATTGTGCAATTATTCTGTTCACTATGTTGCCAGCATTTTCCACGCAAAGCTGATCAAGACGTTTGGTTTTAGGACATTATCTTTGAAAACAGTCTAGTATGGAAATATGCAAATGTGTTAGGCACTAGATACGTCATTCAGACAGTGAAAATAGAATCTCGATTTTATTCGATTTCATCAGTAGTAAGATAAAGTGGACATTTCTAATTACTTCAGTTTTATACGGTAGCTCAAACGTCAAAGCTTGAAATCTTCTAACCGAATTTTTGAACATCCTATCAATTTATACTTAACAGTTTTCCTAAACATACTGTAAAAATCTGAAAAACAATATCTGCGAAGTTTTATTTCTGTGAGAATCAATTTTATACTTTTAAAAACTTACATAATTCAGCGGCAGTCGCCAGCTTTTCCTCTTTTTCAAAAGATTCAGCTATTGTTACGTCTTCATCAGAAGAAGATGCATGTTGTTTTACTTGTTCTTCTTGGACATCTGTTTTATCGTCAGTGACATTCCCATTGTCAGCAGTAGTTGCTGTTAAAGGAACAGATGATGATGGTGATAAATCGGAATGCATGACTTCGATAACTGTAGATACGGAGCTTGACTTTTGCCTGTCTTCTTCTTCATCCTCTTCCTCCTCATCATTCTCTTCTTCTTCTTCTTCTTCAACGATTTCTGTATTAGGTCCAACCTCTTCTTCAATCACTTCAGCAAGAACTTCAGCTGGTGGTGGGGGAGGAAATGGCTCAATATCCTCACTGCCCTCACTTGCAGACGTTGTGGATTCACATGGTGAACAAGGTCTTTCAGTTTCAGTGACTACATTTGTTTCCTCAGCCTTTTCTCTTGTTTTGACGTCATCGTCAGATTTAATAATAGTGTTAGGTATGTTTACATTATCTTCGAGTATGTCCAAAACTCTAGTTCCATTGTATTCACTGTCATCATCAACTACTACTTGTTCGGATGAACCATATTCAAGACATTGATTAATAGAAGAGAGTAATCGCCTTCTACTATTATCGCTATTATCATGAGTGGTTTCAGCAACAGCCTGAAAAATTTCCAAGGTATAATTCCTTAGGAATATAAAAAATTTATTATTTTTGAATAAAAGGCGTATGTGTCACATATATATATATAAATTACTTTAGGACTATCGTAATAAATAACAGAACTAGCGCTAACACAATAAAAAATTACAAAAGGGTATTCAATGAACTTTCAGAAAAGAAAGACTTTAACATATATGTAAACAAAGTGCGAGTGGATAACTGTTTCTTTGAACAACTAACTTCATCAAAAAGTATACGAAAATATCATGAAAAAAATAAAACTTACATGAAAACGCTGAGATATTACGCAACTGTTGAATCACAAGTTAATATCACTATAAAATGTGATAAGAATTCACAAAAATTTCTGCCTTTCGGTATTCTTAAGAACCATGCATAGCTTTGTATTTTACCGTCATGATAGAGCCTTACGGCTGCTGCCATTTCTATCAAGGAAATAGCCGTCTTATTTTATTAAATTTTTACTAGTATTCTTTTACGATGTAGTCAGATATTTCAATAGCCGATGGTCATCAGTCTAAGTATTTGAAATGTCACAGAGTTGAATAGTGGACGGTGTGGTAATATTAATATTGGCATATGGTTGGAGGCAATTTTCAAGAAATCTGGGAACTAGAATTCGTGTTTATAGTCACTTGTCAGGAAAGCATACCTACAAGCCCAAGGCAACTGATTTACCTTTAGAGATTCCAACCCGTATAACTAAACAGCTAAATGGCAAAGTCTCTGACCACATCACTAGGTGAAAGAGCATCAGTTCATTCAGGACTGCATATATGCTTTTCTGACGAGTGCCAGCTAGCACGAAGTCTAGGTTGACGACTTCTTACTGATTGCTTTCAGTCATCTAACATCATTCTAAAATGCACCGTGATGGCAAGTCATCCAGATTGACGGCTACAATCGAATATGGACTGATAGAATTCAGTCAACAACAACTACAATAAGAACAAGCCAGGACATTGTTTACTCCCTAGTGACCAATAGATATGAGCGGTGATATTAAAGAAGTTTTTAAGGACATTCAAAGGTATGAATTACAGCTTAAAAGAATATACGTACTTCCAACTCAATTCTATCTCATACTATTTAGCTAAAATAGACATTTACGACGTCACTAGATCATAGTATAATTAAAGTATAAATAGGAAGAAAAGTCAGTCAATAGTAGGGAATGTCATGAGAACTTAGTATTAACAGCTCACCAATATCACCACTAAATTCTTTTATTACTAAAAGGTAAAGCCAGTACAACTAAATCCTGTAAAAGAGACATATGAGTGAAAGCTAATCAGATACCTACGTGTGATGAAACTTCTCAATTCTGAAAGACAACATACAAGTACTGACCGGTCTAAGCTAAGTAATGGAAAGGGGACATCTGTAGAAAATCAATACAACACAGGATAACATCGTAGGTACTAGTGTATTAAGCTAACAAGTAAAAGCTGCCTGAAAAATTAACTCTATTTATTCATATAAAACAGTAAAATATGATGTGTAGAAAAGTCAGTCTTATGGCTATCTACACTTACAAATGCATCCCAAAAAATCTAATCTAAGGATGCCTAAATCGCAAGACTGACATTTTGAAATATGAAGTTATTGATGAACATAAAAATCACCCCACCATCTTTATCCATTTTAGTCACCAGCATTTTCTTCATTTTCTCTTTGGAAAATAATTTTCACGGAAATCCTTTTCTCTATAGTTAGACATTAAAGGCGACGATCTTTTATTTTGAAAGGAAGCGGATAAAGTACAGCAGATGTAAACTCATGAATGTGCAGACCAGTGCAAGTAATTCTGTTAGTTGACATGTTGTGCTTATGGGATACCTGATTAATTCTAGGATTGAATTTATCATTAATTGAAATCAGATAAGGAAATTCTGAAGACTGAAATCGATGAAGTCAATCAAATAGCTACAAACTCATAACTTAGTTTCTTTTGATTTCCAGTTGATGAATAGCTACTAAATGTATTCCATGAATTTCGAGTCAAAACTTTTGGTCTATGTGTCTGCTTAAATCAACTAGGGAAAATAACTCATCAATAACACTAAGTGGAGATAGTACCCTTATTACGATTTCGCGAAAGCCTAAAATTGTGAATCGTTGGATTCCAAACCATTTAACATGTCTCCATCATAAATATATATATTCATTCCTTTGACGTTAGAAGTGGAACATTGGTCTTCAGGCTTTAAGCTTTGAAGTCTGAGTAGCGCTCATGTTGTTTTCACTGCATGAGGTTGCTAGTCTTACGCTTAACCTGCCCTCTCTACCGGGCTTACTACTGATTAGGCAAGGTTTCTGATTGTATCGCGTGAAAATCAATACCCGAAACACATCCATGGCTGGTGGAAATTCTACCCCTGAACCCCTAATACTGTGCATCGTATAGACTACTATAAACAAATAAAGATGGAGTTATAAATTACCTCGTCTATTAAATCGATTGCCTGTTGGATCATTATTTCTCCTGGCTCATCATTTTCATCATTGATTGGCGGGATTATGTAAGGAATTGGTGGAGGACAAGTTGGTGAAACTGGAGGTGCTTCAACTGACTGTCCAGTCACTGGTTCAGCTGACCCATTTTCCTCTGTCTGCTTTAAAGTAGTTGTGGTGATATCTACATTTTCATAATAACTAGGACTCTAGAAAAGGAATACATGGGATTAACTAGCAGTCTAATTACAAAAGGACTTAAAAAATATGATAATCCCTTATTTACTGAATGAAATGACCCTGTAGTAAAACAAAATACCACATTGACAGTTAAACTGTTCTAGCTAGAGAGAGGTCTTGGGGAATAAACAAAACAAGTCGATATTAGGTTGGTTCTGTATAACGCGTCAAACAGAATTAAAGACTGAACGTAAACGACATGTTACTTTATCATTCAAATAAATGTTTCCAAATGCTAGTTCACTCACAACCCTATATCTTGTGAATAACATTCCGGTTACTTTCAGTCGTTAATAAGTATCAGCCGCACCCTTAATAAACATATTAAGTATTCCAGTACAATGGAATAATATAAACTAAAGTATTAATTCAATCTAGGTAACCAGACATGGATGTGTTTCGTATTCAACGTTCGAACATCATTTAGGCGGTTTTAAAAGCAATTCTGATAAATACTTACACTGGCTATACATGTTAGATATTATTATTTCGTCTCACAAAAATAAAATCATCAAAAAAACCGTAGCAACTATGTATCCTATAGCTATCTAGTTGATGTGAGTAATGCTACGGTAAATATTTCCTTCTGAAACAGACAGATAATCAGCTCCCATTATCACTGTTAGATGCATTCTACCCTCTACCATGGTCTAGATATAAGCTTATGATAAGGGTTTGATATGGTTGGTAGAATAGCTAAGCAATTTTATTACATAAGAATCAATGTATCAGTCACATACTCATGCGTCTGGATGCAACATTTCTCATACCCTTTTCCATATCTGAACTGAGTGAAACGTATTTCAGCCGACAGAAGGCTTGAAAATTTGGTACGTCATAACAAGCAGAGCCTTATGAATTTCAAAACTGATACGCACACATAATGAGATTTATGGAATAAAAAAGATATCTTATAAGTCATGTGTGTGATTTCAGCTAAGCAAATCGAAATTCATTCTTAGAAACAATGGGTTTGAAATACGATCTTTCAAATATTTTTTCCAAAATGTATTCAGGATTATTTCAGATACTATTCATTATCTGTATATATGAAATTTTACCCCACTATTTCGGTGAATAGTGTGAAATTAAACAGAATTGACTGACCGAACTCAGTAACGCCTATAATTATTCTGAAATCTGAATTATATAGATATATTCAATTTATCGGTATGCTATTTACAACTGTACGAACTTATTTGACTAAAAAGTCAACGGTATGTTGCTAAGTCATTCAAATGACAGGATTTTCAGTGATCTATTGTTAAGATACATTTATTCGAATGTATTTGAATAGCCTAGCAACATGTCGGTTAATATCAATGTGTATTCGTCGTGAAATGTTTTAATGAACTCTATCCGTTGTTGTAAGTTAGTCAACAAATGTTCGAATGCTGTATATGTGTATGTGGAATGAAGTTGTTCACTTCTCAAAACTCAGTATTTATAATAAACGTTTATTTATGTAGGAAAGCATGAGTAACTCGTAATTATTCATTAGGAATATTCAAGAGTTGATTTGTAGGGATTGGATTTGTTTTTCGAATTTGACCACGGATTGATATCAGTTTGAGAACCACTAGGAATCGTCTACAAGATATAGTAAATATGTAATGGAATTCCAGAGTGTGTTTTGCTTCATGAATGAAATGAAAGTTAGTGATAATAAGTTAATCAGTGAAACAAGTGTCGGAGTATTTCTGATTAATACGTGAACACGCTACACTACACGAACTAGGATTAGTAGTAAATGATAGTTAGACAGAGATGATGTATTTAATATCGTTACTTTAATAAATCAGACACTCGGATTCGGGATTTTTGAACAGAATGATTCAGTAGTTGGAAAAACTGATTAGAACAAGACACTTCCTTCAATATGTATCAAGACGTTGAATATGCAACCGTCAAACAGTTACTACTTTTTCTAGTATGGGAATCCACACCACATGATGCAGTAAACAAGAATGTTAGTGTCAAACTATTGGGACTGTAACCAATTTACTGTATGGTTTCCAGTCCAAAATCAAATACCTGGAGTTGTACTGGCGTTCGTATTACAGACATTTTGATGTGGCTGTGTTCTTTGAGCTGGCTAGTTTATTTGTGAAGCTTTCATTGCCATACTAGGCAACATCTTCAGCTCATATTTCAAATTTAAGTATGACCTAATTCAAAGATGGACAACAAAATGAGAGGCTGAGTTCAGTGTACACTGCACTGAATAAAGAAGTGAAGAAGAGTGCTAGGAAAGACAGACGACAATTCTACGACACACTTACAGCTGAATCAGAACAGACCACAGGCAAAAGGGACATCAAGAAGCTATATCAGCTAACCGGGTCACTCCCTATCCGAGAAGATATCAACCAAGATGATGGAACCAATAAAAGATGCTCAAGGGAACCTGATCACCAAGGAGGAGAAACAGATAAAACAATGGGCTGATCACTTGCAAGTGAACATAGAGAAGACCGAGGTAATGAAGACAACCAAAGAACCATAAAACATCAACAACGACAAGCACCAATCGCCATCAGCCGGAGAGATTCGACAGAGTTTACCTCCTTCACTTATCTGGGAAGTGCCATTTCAACTACAGGCGGGACAGACAAAGATGTCGAAGCCAGTCTGAAGCAGAAAGGAAAGATACGCCTTCATCAACCTGAAACCAGTTTGAGAATCTCCAGCCCTCCGCAGCATAAGGAACAAGATTCGGATTTTCGGCACCAATGTGAAGTCGGTCAGTTCTTCTATACGGGTCAGAAACGTAACCAGCATGTTATGAAAAGGATTTCCAGCAGGCCACTGCAGACTTTCATCAACAACTGTCTCGTTCCCTGGCTGGTTCCATACTGAAGATCTAATGGCAGGCCAGAAGGAATAAGCAATAAAAAACTTTGGGAACAAACCAACAGGCAAGAGCCGATCAGTCAACAAATATGTAGGAGAAAGTGGAGATGGGTAGGGCATACACTGAGGAGGTTGACGAATGACGCCGCACGCCAACCCCTCTGGTGGAAACCTAATGGGAAGCGACAAGTGGGTCGTCAATGCGAGGGTGAGATGGAGGAGATCGTGTGAGGAAGAGATGAGAGAGTTTGGTCAATCGTATACCCAGATGAAGAGGACAACAGAAAACAGAACACTCGGAACTCAAAGGAATTATAATAGAATAAAAAAAATTTTTAATTTATTTTGGTTACAGCTTTTTGGTATACGTATGGAATTTTCAGCATGTGATATCGGTAGTCCAAATTTTGCAGGCCGATCATAGATATCAGGTGTGCGTCGGCAGGGGATCGAACTTTGGACCATGTGCATGTTCGGCGAGAGTCCTAACCACTGTGCCACCGACGCATAAATAATGATATTTGTTACCAATACGTTGATAGACAACATTTATTCCATTTGATGTAATCTCAAAGATCTGACTATGCAGGCATTGACTTTTTAATTTTTAATCCATATCTTACTTATCCTAGTTTTATTTCACATTGCCCAGTGTGAAATGTTTAAAGTACATTCACTAAATGATTATACAAAGTTCAATAACTCAATTTGTGATGAATTTGATCTGAATATTAACTCACATAAACTGCTTTCATCATCTAAAATAATCTAAAGCCGTACCATACATGGCAGATGGACACATATGCATAACGTTTATACGATGTAAGTTAATTCCCATCTAGATAGGGAGAAACAGGCTGGTGCCTGAGACACAATTTGTCCACCTCTGCGACCACATACAGCATATGTAGTGAGGTATAAATTAGCGACGAATTTTTTCCCTCACTAAGCATATGAGAGAAAATGGTGTTGTGTATAAGGATAATGAAATGTCAGCATAAAAATATATGCATGGTTTCTTGATTAACAATCAATGTTTTTTAAGATATAACTGACAACTGTTTTGCATTGACTGATCGCAACAAATGTAAAATTTTTGTCAAACCTACCTGCTTTTTTCTTTCACTGGATAGGTTTTGATCTTCTTTAGATATTTCTCCAGAAATGGATGGTTGTCCTTCATCTTGTTTTTCACTGATCACTTCCAAATCACACTTCACCTTATTTATATCCGGTGTATACGAAAAAGACTCACATGTAGACGAGGGAATCTGTGGTTCAGATTTTGTAATTGAAGTTGAAGTGTCAGTTGCCATTTGTTCGTGCAAAGTGTATTCTTCACCATCTTGATAAGCCAAAGCACCCTTATTGGCAATGATAAACAAATTGTCTTCTAAAAGAAAAACAAATCCAAAAAGAAATAATTCATACTCGTAAAGCTTCCGTCGTCAGTTTGGCTGCAGTAACAGATAATCACTTATGATGCGAAACGCAGAATCATCAAAATTTTAACAGTAAGAATAAGACAGAAGTAGACTGCTGTTTTGATTTTGCTGATAAAGTTTCTTTGATATAAGAATAAACCTTGTACACTGTGGTAGAGTGTAATTCCATTATGGGTAAATTTTGTTTTAATAAAGTCTCACAGTTTTATAGAGTAATGTTTACTGATGACGTTTCGAGCACAATTTATTGCTTATAATCATATCAATAAATTGTGCTCAAAACGTCATCAGTGAACATTACTGTATATCACTGTGAGACTTTATTAAAACAAAATTCATCCATAATGGAATGATAACGTTTCCGATTGTGTTTCATTTTCACTTCATTTTTTCTTGGTGATAAGTAGTTATTATTTACTAGACAACTGTTCCGAATTCCTTTCATTAGTAGGAAGCTTGGTCAAAGAAGTTTACTGATATCATTAACAGTAGCAGAAAAGGTTCAGATTGGTTCCCAGTTTGTATATGAATCATTGAGAATTAAGTAGCTCACGATGGATGTTTTTTCCTAGTTTAAATCTATTCAGTATTACATTTTTGAAGAAAAATCTGCTTGATTTGTAGTGGTGAAGAAAATATTATTGAAGATCAATCAACAGAGAAAGAAGGCAGAGGTGAAATTTTGAAAGAGCAGTGAAACATTTTTCCGGCTACTATCCTTCTCTCTTGTTATAAAAACGTAAGCATTCATAATCATACTCAAAGTTTAAATGAATAAAGCTGTGTTGTACTACGGACTGATTCAGCTGAGTAGTTGCACATCACTGACATTAATCAGTAGTGCTTGCTAGCCGTATTGAGGTGATCTAAGCACCATAGTGCTGTTCCGCTTGTTTGAGGCTGAGTTCATCAGCGGTGTACCCTGTTTGAATTAGATCAGAGAAGCAAGTCAGTTGAAACTATCCGATTTCTGGCTGGCCACTTGGGTGATCTGGTAGTACGGTATATTAAAATTGCTAACCATTTTGCAAATAGAGAATTTAAAACTTAAAACTTGTTTGAAAGAAGTCATCAAAAGGATTTGAATGCTCAGTCCTGCACAGTAAATATCTTCAATTTATTCACATTTCTATTAGTTCTGTTTCACTTTAAAGTGAATTCTTAGAATACTCTATGTGAACCAAATTACATTCAGTGCTAAGAATTGTAGACAGATTTATAAATTTGTAATATGTGAGATGATTAATGTTTCTTACTCTGTGTAATTAATTTACTGACAAAGAAATATATATGTGATGTATTTTCACACTTCAAGAAAACGCATTTATTTATTTGATGGGCAAAATTTCGGATGTAAAATTAAACAGTTAATGATAAACGGAAGTAAACTGTCACAGTTTAAGGGAGAAAGGCGATGCACCACTGTTTAAATTGATACAGCCCTGAAAATTTTCATGTGTATATCTGAATTAGTCACAGTAGTGTAAAGTGTTTCAGAATGCACATTGTCTAACTAAACGGTATATTTTTTTTATTATGATTTATGTCTTATTAGAGCCTAAAAAAAAATGGTGAACGACCATTCAACCATACAACACCCTGCTATTCAGTAGTCCAGGACACTTATAACTCTTGTGTCATTGCCCAGCTTGATATGTCCGCAAATAATAAGTTTGCGATAACAAATACTTTTTAGTCCTTGAAGCCATGGGGAAAGTGTTGAGAAGACAGATTTGTTTGAGCCGCTGAAAACAAACCACTTTATATGGCGAAAATCCATTAAATATATATAGTCAATACTCGGGAAGTTAAGGCAGTTGAATGAATAATTGTGCAAGTTGCACAAGGTTAGGCTCCTAGTTGTTCAATTAAATTCTGCCCCAGCCAAATGAAGTAATTTGTGGATCCTCATGCGAGCTAGTCTAAGTTGGGCTTTTTTCTGCATCTTATAGTTAATATAGGATTATGAAGAATAAGAGATATGTACTACGTGATTATGTACATCTATGAATTACCCATCCAGTATGCTCAACAAGCAACTTCACAGTTATATTTTATGTACGCACTAATTAGAATACCTCTAGGCTTAATTTTAAGTTTAGTAAATACTGATATTATTTAGACTTACCATTTATAATTGAGTCTTCTTTACCTTCACTGGGAAGTCCAGATTTTTGCACATCTGATTGATTTGACTTTTGCTCTTCGTCGACCTGCTTACAGGAAGTTTTATCGACAGCTTTTGTTTCTTCTGCATCACGACGACCACTATGTCTACGTCGATGATGCTCATGATGATGTCTATGCCGTGTCCCTTGTTTTGAATGATGTCTTTGTGGTTCTGAATCAAATGTATCCCTCTTATCTTTCTTTTTGTGCGATGAACTTGCTTCTTTTGATTCAAAGGTTTGTGAATCTTGTCCAACAGTTATCGATTCTGATGCCCTGGAGATGAGATAAAAGCAAGTGATATGATCTCTAAACATGACAGACAAGTCACTAATTAAAAGTTAGACAAAGGTAGGTGATTTCAGATACACTTTGTCTTCATTAAATCTGACGTACAGTTTCATTCATTATTCCATCCTTATAAATAACTTTCAGAGGTAATTACTGTAAAGTAGGTAAACATGTTTCATTCTTCATAAAAATTCATACTTTCGCCTAATTTTTGCTTGGCTACCGGCATTGTGTAAGAATCTTTCTTACCGTAACCGGTGGTAAGTTTACTAATACGGAACTAATCCTAGAAACCAGTTCATACAGGCCGTGTGGACCGGCCTCAAGTAGTCCTCCCCTGGGCTCTGCGGTCACGCAACACTAACCCTCTTTCTGTTTCAGGTACCCGAAGAATCAATCAACTTCCACGGTGTGATCAGTCGGGAAGTAACGACCGTCCACACACTTCCAAAAGCACACGAAGCTCTCCTGAGCATCATTCTCCTTTAATGACTACAAGAAATTTTAAGAAATTGTTTTGCACTTATGATATAGCTCTTCCAAACAGAAGATAAAAATGAGTTGAATACAGTTATTCATTGTCTAGAAGGCAGAATCCTAGAATAAAGCAATCCCCTTAATAAACCTTGACGGCTGATAGAAAACCAAATTCTATATTATATATTTTGATAACACCTATTCAGTCATGAAAGAAATAAAAGACAATTCCTCAAACAAATCATCACCAAAGTCTATACAACCATGTTTATATTTACTATAAACGTGTAGCAGATTAATGCGATTGTATAACATTTGAAGATGACTCAGTCGATAAAGAAGTTTTACTTGTCTGGATTGTTCTTCGTTTTATTCTGATAATTATGCGGTAAACGTGAGCTGCATTTAGTAGGTGCATCACATGGATTATTACAAAGTCTAAATCTGAGTAGGTATGTATAACACCTATCATGTGCAGAGTATTTTGTTAATTCATTGAATAGTAAAACAAATGTTAGAACTAATCGGTACGAGCTTTAAACTTAGTGCCCAGAAGTGAGTATTGATGTTACCTATGTTAATTACTATTCATTCGACATGGTGCTTTAAAATTATGTTTTCTACAGCAATGCAGGCAATGCAGTGTATACAACAATATATACAACGCACATTTTGTATCCAAACTGCTTGACTTGCTAAGCATTTGATGTAGAGTTGATAGTGCTATTCATGAATGTTGTAGTTTCATTTGTATCACTTACAAAAACCGTTTCAGAAAATCCCATATTCATTCGAAATATTCTTTTTGGTAACAGATGAAGTTCGTCACTCACGCTTACTGAGAGGGTGTATAACATTTATTAAACACCATGTTAAAGGTAAGACTGAGGAAAGAAAGACTTACTCTTTATTTTTGTCTTGTTCCTGCATTTCATCAGATTTTACTGGATGATCTGATGAAGTTTTTCGTTCCTGACCATGCATTTTCTTTTTTAACCGTCGTCTACTAGTGCTACTGCTTTGACCTGAACGAGATCTTGATTTCTTATGTGATGACGATCTGGAAAGTGTACTATGACGTTGGCGATGGTGTACTGTCTTCTTGTCATCTTTCTCCTTTTGTTCATTTAATAGATTTTGTTTTTTTTTCGACTCTGATGATGACACTGTGGGCTGAATCTTGTCACTGTCATCAACAATTTTGGTTTTGCTATCTCCTCCTTCATCAGCTGGATGGTATTCACCAGATTTTAAAGCACTTAAAATTGGATTCGATAGACTAACTTTCTCCATATTTATTAACTTTTCATTGTAACGTTTGATTTTTTCTAATTTCTCAGTTAATGCACGTTGTTTAGCTAGTTCTTGTTTTAATATTCGCTCTTGTGATTTAAGGCTCGACAAAAGTTCTCTCTGTGAATTTTTCACATCTGACAACTTTTCGCCTGACAGAATTGATGATGAATAATCCAAGTTAGACTTTAATAGAACAGTTTCATCAAGCGAAATTTTCTCCAGAGATTTACTACTTGAACTGATCGACGCACTTTTATGGTCGCTAAATTCATCTGAATGGTAATCTTTGTATGTTTTTTCAGATTTATTTTGATGACGATGGTGATGACTCTGCCGGTAGTGATGATGGTGAGGGTGATAACCTGATGAATGTTTTCCAGATGAATGGCGACTGCGACTGTGGTACCGATGATGATCCGAATGGTGAGAATGATGGCGTTCGGGATGCTTGTGAGAAACACGTCTATGATTTTGATGTTCAGATGCATGACGTTTATAATGACCATGTCTTGATCGTGAAGTGCATGTATGACAATAGCAAGGTTGATGGCGGTAAGAATCATGATATTTACGAAATGAACTGGGTCTACTGTGGTGAGACCGATGTGTATAGTGAGGATATTCACAAGATGATGAAGAATATGATGACAGAGAGTAGTCATCATAACCATGCTTGTGGACACGCTCACAAGAGCAGCCACCGCTTGGTGTATAATCATAACCAGAAAGCATTGAATATGAACTGGAAGAGGTTGACATTTCGGAGCTAAGGGAAATATCTGTGCTTCCTGGTTCAATGGAATGGCATGAAAGAGGTAGTGACGGAGAGTGAGATCTGAGGGAACGTTGACTTAAACTGGTTTGAGAATGTTCCTTGGCTAACAGAGAAGTCATATCAATCTTTTGCCGAGAATGTAAATCAACGTCATTGGGTATTTCTACAGGATTGCCATCTTCATCTTTTAAACTCTGAATGTTTGCATCTTCAGGTGCAGTATCTTTAGCGTAAGCTGTTTGAGATTTTTCTATCCACTCTTCCACTTGTTTCTTACTAGCCTTTGCTTCTACTTTACATGACTTTTCAACAGTTTTCATGCCTTTCGTATCTGTGATTGGTTCCTCTTCCGATTCAGAATCTAAGTAGATAGGTGTACGTGGAGACACACCTAGAAATTGAGTTCAGAATAAAAGAATGTCTCATAAATACACATTTTCATGTCAGTGTAACAGGTGGCTAAATTAAAACAGTTTCTACGTTACCGTGGCATGCATTACTACTGAGCATATTTCATAAAAGAAACATAAACAGACTATTTAAAAATTTGGATGAATAAAACACCCCGATTAAATGCGATAATTCATTTATTCTTAGCATTTAAACTTGAGATGATCTAGAATTTTTAAAAAGGTTTGACTCCTCATATGATATGACAACGGAGAGACTTACGGTGGTTTTATCCCTGGAATTTTTGGAATTAACTGTTGATAAAAAAAGTGGATTGCTTGACAACAAGTTATTTCACTTCAATAACATTGCATTTTTATAAACGGATATCAAGTGTTGATATGAAGAGATTCAATCGGTTACGGGATTTCGTCGTGAGCTGACATCAGTTAGAGAAACATTGAAAAATTTGGGGGTACTGGATAGTTGTTTCGTCCTAGTTTGAAACTCTTCAGCACTGGACACACACCGAGGTTGAAGAGTACCAAGCTAAGACGAAACAACGGTCTTTTACTCCCAGGTTTTCCAATAGTTCTGTAGCCTATGTCAACTGACAATGAAATCTCGTAAGCCGATTTCAATTATGCTAAATACATTATTTTCATAACTTCACTTAATATTTGTGCGTCGGTGGAACAGCTATAGAATGCTCGCCAACCACGTGGGTTTGATCCTCTGCCGACTCACACCTTTACCTTGCTAAGCCAGTAACATAAGTGGTAAAGATGGTTGAGCATGAGGCTAGCAACCCCATCCCGTAAAAATAAAACACCACTGCTACCGAAACTTCAAAGCTTTGGCTTGAAGCTTTTTGTTGTACTGAGAATGTAAAGGAAAAGAAACTTCTTAATATACAGGACGTTGCTAAACAGTAATGTAACAACATTAATGCTAAATAAATCATTTGTTTCACTGCAAGAATTTATATATCTTCATGCTGAAATCTTTAACTGTCTCAACTCAGTGACTGACCACTTATTCAGTGTAATACCTGTAATGTGCTGTTAGTACAAATGTTATGAATTGTGCTCCTTACTAAGTTAAAACGACTAAACCAGTTCAGAACCAAGCAAATAATAAATAACAGGAGGGTATTTAACAACTACAGCCAAGATTTATACGTTAAAACTTTTGATATGTATCTGAAGCTTAGTTCGAGATATAGTGTGAATACAAGGATGTTTGGAATAATGTAATTAAAATGACTCACTGTTTGCAGAAAATTCATGACGCCCAATGAAGAAGATACATCTGATCAGACGTTTATCAGTAGATGATAACTTCCGTCTCATTTTATTACCTAATGCACTGCTTCAATTGGCTCATAATTTATTCTCACTCCTCTAAATGTGTTATATTAATTAACCCTTTGATTAGTAGTAGTTTATAGTTTTAAAAAATATTTTCAAGTGATGCTTATGTTTTTGAAAATGACATAATTTATTTTTTGTTGTTTAGCTAGTTCCCTGACTAATTATCATTTATACAACTTGCATGATATTGGTGAGAATGAATCACAAAAAAGTAATCACGTTTATCCGGCAATTTCATTAAAAAAAATCAGTGCTCACTTAGCTTTTTAAGTTTTTAAAGATCTCCAAAATGCTGATTTTTATCTGTCCGTCCTAAATGTTCTTTAGGAAAGTCACATTCCATTTTATTAAAAGTAAAATTTTCAAGAAACCTGTGAAATTGACTTCTTCCGCGTTACAGTTTGAGAGTAGCGTTAAGAGTACTAAAAGTACCACAAAAACTGCCGTCTGTTAAAGTGAATATATAGTCAGACCCAATCAAGCAACATTGAAGGCGTGGTTAATATGTAAGTACTGAAACACCTTCTTTCATATTTTAGTAGCCTAATGCATTAAGTGTGAAAACAACCTTTAAAAAGAGAATTACGCATTGAAATTTCTCGAACAAACTTAATTATCGTGCGCAATTATACCAACTGGATTAAAAACTTCTAATTACACCTTTGAAATATTCCCCAAACACTTTACGTCACATTTCTTATTATGGTTATTCCAGAGCATCATGAATTAATGTTGGCTTTCACTACTTGAGAAGAATTTATTCTACACAGTTCAACCCTGTACACAAGTGAAACAAGTTTACTGATAAGAAAACTGTCTTTATGCAGTTTACGAATTGACAGCACTAAAGTAAAATTGTAACTTGGGTCATAAGTAAAGATGAAACGAGAATTTGTACGGCATCATGATCTAAAACAAACCCCTGTGGGTTAATAGCCTAATATTCAGCTGACTGACAAAAGCGACTAAGCTGGTCTGGAGATCTTTGTTTTACTTATGTAGCCATAGATTTCAGTTAGCTAGTAGGTAGAAAAGTAATAGAAAGAAGACCAATAGTTCAGCGAAGAGTCTCTTTTCGGCGAATTCATTTTCACAGCTGTACAATCACAAACATTTTGCATATGTTTGAACATTAAAGTTGTCAAACGAAAATGCAATTGTCAGGTATTGGTTTGTGGGGGTTTTATTTGATTGTTTGGAAGAGTTCATCATGAGCTGAGATCGGTTATAGAACCACTAGAAAACGTGGGACTACTGGACAACTGTTTTGTCCTAGTTTGAGACTCTTGTGAGAAGCCGTGACCAGTAGGGTACAGCAGGTCGAAGAGGAGCACAGTTACTCATCGAAGACACTGTTAAGTGGTGGCGCTATGTCGTGAATTGGCAGAAGTTGGACTTCATGGGCTGGCTATTGGATCGAGTCCCAGTAAGTGGCTTAATGGTCTAAGAGCTCGCCTTGTAATCGAAATGTCCTGGGTTCGAACCCCTGTGGGTGCGTGCTGATGAAACGTCCCAAAATAGGATGAGACAATTGTCCAATACTCCCAGGTTTTTAAATGGTTCTCTAACCAATGTCAGTTCATGATGAAATCCTCCAACCAATCGGAAATACTATTGGTCAGGGTTGTTGTAACTGAGGTGGTGAAAATTAGTAAGTTTCTGGTGGAGTTACATAATACGAAAAGTGATCAGAGGGCAGTAACAAAGGCGATGAGTTGTCACAAACGATTTTTACAGATGGATTAAGCAATAACATGAATAGTTCGATGAAAGAGTCGTGCTCAGGGTGTAAAAGAAAACAAAATAAGATACTGAATTACGTAAGAGTTTTAAAGGAATACAAGAGTTTTAAGTAGTTAGAAAAACAAACAAGCTATTAAGAAGAGTAATAGGCAAATGTCTATTTATTAACACTTAACTGCATTGAATTAGAAAGAGAAGGAAAGATTGGTTGTTTACTGGTTTGATTATATGCAATAGGGTTTTACTGGAAATTGGATTCCTGTATCCTCAATCTTAAAACCACTGCCTTAGAAACTGGATTAAATTTTTATAAGTATTAAATAAAAAGGAATTAGATGCGGTTCCGAAACATTTTAACACTATGAAATGATTTTCAAATAACTCTTTCAAAGAATTTCTGTTATACAAATTGCTATGAGTGCGTTTATCACCTCGCCTAAATCAAATAATTCACTAGTGAAACCACGCAGTGAAAAGTTCAGGTAATGTTAATCAGCATCATTGATTCTGCAAATGTGTGGGTGAACACATACAAAGCAGCATACCATAGCGCAACAATTTGCTTGTGCTTCTGATTAAGTTTCGTAGTATAGATGTTCGTATACCAACACAACTCCAAATAGTTTTCGTCTTAAGAAAATAAAACATAGGAGCCGTTTTAATTGAATACGGCTTTAAAAGATTTTATCACGTTTTTGCTGGCACTTTTATTATATTACTGATTCATATTACGTCATGCTTATCTAAATATATAATATACACGCCGGATAATAAGAATTATGGAAACGACGGTTACAACAAAGGAAGCTTTCTTTTCGACGCAGTCACCATCAAGTGATTAACTGTCCGTTCCATGTGGGATTCTTCTAGAAGAATCTTTTCAGAGACTTGCCAACATTCCTTGGCAATTGAACGTCAAGGAAATGAGACATTGAGTCAGACTCAGCTTCCAGAGTGAGTTTGATGTCTGAGTGGACATTATTCAAGAAGATTTGTCTACAAGAAGGCCACATGGAACAGACAGTTTATCAACTTTCAAAGTTGTGTGCCTCTAAGCAGAAAGAGAAACCTAATACACTCTCTTTTCTCGAGGACGCAGAAGATTTGCACTGAGGATTCAATCGACGAAAAATTGCATAATCTCAAAGGGACCTTTATATAAATTGGTTTCCCAACCAGATTCATAGATAAGAATCTAAAACCAAAGAAAACGCCTGGAAAGGTCCGAGTCGCCCTCTAAAAGATGCTGATACTGAACCTCGAATCTAAAAGTGATACCGAAGCAAAACGTCTCCGCAGACGGATTTCAAAGTCTCTCAGCAAAACATACTTTGCCACTAGCCTACAAGTAAAATTTTCCCGCAATAAACTGTTCAACCAGCAAGTGAAAGACAAGCTGCCGCACTGGACTACTTCAGCATGCTTATATCAGTTCACTTGTTCATTTGGAGCCAAGTACATTGGCCGTACCATGCGTCCGCTTGTAAAAGACGCTCGTAAACACTATCCAGCAAGGTTAGCAAAGGTAGATGACAAGGGTGTATACAGTTTGGTAACAGGACATCTGGTGAATTCAAGACTTTCAGCTCCATTTGAAAAGCCCTTCAAAGTCATATGTCATTCGCACCAATAGTGATCATCCTATTACCTTTCTCATCCAACCTTCCTGTTTATTTCTGCTATTTCTACGTTTTTAATTCCTATCTGCACTACTAGATTTGGTTGCTTTTTTATTTTTTTACATGTCCGAACTTCCTGCCTATTTCATTATTACTACGTCTTTAATCTGTAATTTGTACAAACGGTGAAGTTTTTTCAGCAATTATGATTTTATTATGCCTTTATCACTCTTTACAGTTTTATTAATCTCGCCTTTGACCTGAAATATTTCCAGAGTAGTACTACTACCTATCTGTCTTACTATATTCTGTGTCTATTTTTCCTGTTTATTACACTTTGTGATTTTATTAACTTAACATTTGACCAGAAGTAGTTCTGGAAATTCTTACACAACTGCTATAAAATAAACCGAATATACAGCCTCGTTGGAAAGAAAATTTTGTTCTCTGTAACCGTCTTTTAAAACATGTAATAATGAACTGACTATTCACAGTGCAACAACAAATATATCAGTGTTTAATGATCACGATGGTTATCACAAAGCACTTGGATGTACTTAATGTTTAATTCATAAATTTATGCTAAGATTAGTGTAGCACAACCCACCCACCCCCGCCAGGGAATGAAATATACGTCAATGTTACATAGGAATTTCATTTATAAAAAATGTGTCTTTTAAACGGATAATTACTTAACGATTTACTAGTGCCAATAAAGGTGGATTTCATAAATTAGGTCAAATAATTTTGAGAAACTGAACAACAAACCTGATATTGAATCCAGTGCTGGAATAAGACTTGTAATATCCATACCAGCGGAAGAACTAATTGCTTTACTTTCTTCCATTGGACTTGATTTTGCAGGTTTGTGTGAAGATGCAGTACCAGCGGCATTGGAGGGCATAGCAACACTAGCAGGAGTAGATGTGCTTGCCGTTACTCCAGTGTAGATAGACTTCACCTGTCCGCTTGCCATATCCGACTGTTTACTTTTATCTATAGCCTGGATTCATGAGTATTAAAAACAAGTAGGCAGGGAACTAATCACTTCAAATAAAAACAGATATATACGGTGGAAATAAACTATAGGAACACTTTCTTCGACCAGAACAAGCTGGATTCAGGAAAGGCAAATCATGTTCTGATCAAATTGCAACTCTACGCATCATCATCACAGAACAAAGCATGGAATGGCCATCAATCAAACCTCTACCTCAACTTTATAGACTTTGAGAACGCCTTCGACAGCGTTGACCGCGAAGTAATTTGGAAACTACTCGAGCACTACGGCGTACCACAAATATTCATCAACCTTATTCAACAGCTGTACGACAACGGCGGCACATGTCAAGTCATCCACAACGGAGTAAACACAGGAGTCAGACAAGGGTGCTTATTATCACCAATGAATGATATTCCTAATTGTGGTGGACTGAATTATGCGTCGGACAGTGAGTGAGAAACGAGAAAACAGGGATATCCTGGACCAACGTGAAGAACTTAGAAGACTTGGATTTCGCGCGTGGATGATTTATATTTGATGTTACACAAAATCGAAGACTTACAAGCGAAAACCGACAAACTGGTCGAAGAAGCAGCCGGCGAAGACAGGACTCCAGGTGAACATAGAGAAGATGGAGGTTATGAAAATAACCAACCAACAACAACAATAACAGAAACATCCAGCGCCAATCACCATCAACGGAAGGGATTTGAAAGAGGTCACTTCATTCACTTATCTAGGGAGGAAGCATTGTCTCAACTACAGGAAGTCGGAACGGACGAGGATGTCAAATCGAGCGAGAATCCAGGAGAGGGGCGAGAAACACATTCATCAACCTGAAACCAATCTGGAGACCTTCGCCACTCAGCCAGCATCAACAACAAAATTCGGTCTGATTTTCAATACAAACTCGTCAAGTCAGTCAGTTCTTCTATACGGATCAGAAACTTGGATGGGGACACAAAGAATATTTCCAACAGCCTGTTTCACACCTTTATCAACCGACAACTGTCTTCGCTCTATACTGAAGATCAAATGGCCGAGCCAGAGAGAATCACCAAGAAGAAACTATTTGAACAAACAAAACAAGAACCAATCGCCCAACTACAACAAATATGCAACAGAAAGTGGAGATGGATTGCACACTCGTTAAGGCTGGAGGCCGCCACTGGGTGACATCGCGCGCGCGTCAGGTCATTGCTCGAGTGGCGAGTGGGTCGTCAGTGCAAGGGTGACATGGAGGAGATCGTGTGAAGAGGAGTTGAAACAGTCAGTATGGGCTAACATGGATGCAGGTGAAAAGTACAGCAGAAGGAAGACAGAAGCAGGTGGAGACGTGCAGTTGAAGCCGTATGTTCCACTAGGAACCCAAGGGAACAATAATAATAATACTTTCTCCATAAACTAATCACTTACATCAACACATGCTAGGTTCGTATTTCATATTTAAGCGTAAATGTAATGGTAAATTCAATCTTAGGCACAAACCATTACTGACCGATTGAATAATGACTTGGCAATACGACTAATCTACATACCAGGATTGTTCTCCACTTATGTTTGCTGTTTTGTATCTCCAAAGTACTAGAACATATTAAGATTATGAAAGAAATTAAGTGATTCCTAACATTCAGGTTGTATAAACAGCCAACAAACAACCAGAAAAATACAATGGATCCATTTTATCCTTCTCCATTTGTTAAAGGAAATTAGCGTGAGAAATTTATTAATCTCATATAGGAAGATAATTATAAGTTTATGTTAACATGACTGGCATTATGAATTGTGGTTTCTTCTTTGGGACAAAAAGTAACAACAAGAAGACTGATTGTGCATTACTTTCCCTTTTAGGGAATGTCAATCATCCGCTAAATGTGTGGCATACTATCTTGGTAAAAAGATATTTCTATTGAAATTCAGTGGATGAGAATCTCGAGACAAGATACATACATTTCTATCTAGGGAAACATGTTTCCATTTACGTTTAACAACACTACTGTTTAGTTAGACCTGCTAATTTGTCCACATTTTCCAAATCTACACAGTATGAATCGTGACTAGCACAGTTATATTATATAGAAAAACCACTGGTTTCATCAATGAGCGGGTGATAGGGAACAATATTCATCATTTTTACATAGCGGTATTGTATACTAAGCGATTTATAAAATCTTATGCAGAATCTTTTCTCTGCACCACAGTATTAACTATTTTAATGGATACATTGCATATTTGCTCGAGAGACTCTGGGTATTATTGGCAACTTTACAAAAACCCAGGTTACCATCTAGGCATCACTTCTAATGAATTCTGAACCATCTTTGTAAGTTATCGTTGAAGATGTCCGAATGTCTGTCTTTTCTCACTAATATTAGAAAGTGCCCAATAAGAAAATTTTTAAGGAGTTAATGTCAACACAATATAGTAATGTAATATTAGAGACTTCTGCTGCATCTCTTCAGTTGATGTTATTAGTTCACACCACCTAATATTAACGCAGTTGGTTTTAAGAAGGCGATCATTCCAGCGGTATACTATTCAGTCCGATTAAATCTGGAGATCAGTTAAAGATAAAGTATCCGGATATCAGTGATAAAGAGGTGATAATTGAATACTCAGATATCTGAGTATTTTCGCAAACTTATCATATTGAGAATTACAAAATAACGAACCGATCTGAATTATTAGAAAATATTTTCGTTAACTAGGAATATTTTACAAAACCTACCTTCTTAGATTCTTTGATATGAATGTCTGTAGTACGCTTATCTCCAGATTTTGGTATACCAGTATACGGACGGCTTGCACTCACACTAAATCCAGCAGACCGTAAATCTTCCCTTAGCTGTTCAAAAGTTTCATTCGTGTCCTATTTTGTATTGAAAGTAGAAGTTCGAATATAGATTAGTAGTAGCAACAAATGAGGTGATTGTTGGCTTAACACTTGAAATAATTTACGTCAGCGTGAAGTTACGGTGGGAACACTATCAGTTAATAGAACTGAGGTGCAAACGAATAACTTCTCTCGAATTAGATGAGAAGCACCACCCTTTCAGTCACAGTACTAACTATTACCAAACACAAAACGCACAAGGTCGTACTGAAAAAAGCATACTAAGTTACTGAGAAAAAAATAATATTCAAAAACAACAAGATAAACAATGGGACAGGACTAGTTTATTACTTTATTAACCTAAGTTTTGCACGCTTCACTGCCACATCTGATACTTTATAAAAGGGAATAATAATGTATTGATATGTACAAGGATCTCTTGTTTTTTCTCCTTCATATATGACAAAAACTGAACTGAGGGGATATTTATATAGCAGTCCTTATTTTATTTAGCACAACAGTAGGAATTATACTAAATTGGAAACGATTAGTCGCTATAAGGACATATGGATATGTGGACTATAGCCTCACAGTTTGCTCTTATATTTCTGAAATTACAAAATATGACACACGACCCAGTGAGATGTGATATTATTTTGAATGCCACACAGTTGTGCAGTATTAACAACTGGATGATAAGGTCTTGAGAATAAATTATTACTCATAATCATATCAATTTAGTCACACAGTTTTACGGTTTGTCTTAATGAATATATATATATATTTTTCTCTCTTACCCTCTCCTCCTTGTTATTTGTTACCGCTTTCCACATCACTGGTATAGATGTTACGTTGAGTCATTTAGATTCCACCTGTGTGGTGTTGAATCGATAAACAAAGCTTCAGTGATTAACTAACCTCTTTCTTCACCTAACTATATTACTTTCTAATACTTCGACACTGTCACATCTACCCTACTATGTGATCACATGCAAGTGAATGCAATGCAGTGGCTGAGCTGTGTTTTGACTAGGTTATATAACCTAGCCGGGTCAGTCATTCAAGGTCTAGCTAAATTTTATGTTCCAATAATCTAGTTGATCCCGATCTACTAATGGAATTACATCCTATCACAGTGCCCAAGTTCTACACTTACACCAGTCATACCTGATAAGTAATTTAAATAACCAGAAGTGCATTTGAAAACCTTATCTTGAAGTAGGCACTATGTATTTCTATCACTGATTATAAATATTTTATGCTAGGGATTAAGTCATGATATGAGGTATTTAAACTCAAAGACTTCACAGCACCGTTGACTTAAGATTGCACAAAACGAGCGAAGAGCGTCAGTAGGCAGAATTAGCACTTTCTTGCATTTCTTCAGAGATTTTGAATTTTGTGCAAAAACATTTTCCAAAATAAAAAACGTGAATAGGAGGAAAATTCACTCCATTCAATGTATGAAGAAAAACTAAGATTCATAACCAAGAATATAACCGAGGAAATATTAAATAAAAATGAAATCTGCGAAACTAATTTCGATGGTAAATCTAATTAAAAATAAATATTTCTCGTTTGAATGAGGCTAAATGATTAAATACTCACTTGATCAAAACACAGAAAATCAAATTATCGGTCTTTCGAATATCTCAAAACAGTCTGAGTTAGTCTTAAATTCGCAGACTGACTTTGATCTAGTGGAGACGATAATAAGGCTAAAATATAAAAAGATGGGTCACAGAGGGATTCGAACATGGCTACGTTGGACTGTATTCCTGTTTTCCCTTACTCTTCATGCGCAGTATTGTTATTGATTATAGCTTTTGTTTTATTACTTTACGTCCCCAGTGGAACATAGGGGTTCAAGCTACAGGCTTGAAGTTTCTGAAGCAGTGGTATTTCCTTTTAGTGTATGGGGCTGCTAGCCTCATGCCTAACCTTCCCTTTTACTAGTCTTCCTGCTAGACAAAGGAGTGCGTAGGCCGGGGATCAAACCATGAACCACCTGCATGGCTGGCAAACATTCTACCACTGTGCCATCGGCGCACAGGTTTATAGCTTAATTAATACTAACTTGAGTCCCAATTAATATTAGCTTTATTTCCTTCCCTGTTGACTCATATTTGCTTGAAAATAATGTAGCTTTCATTATTTTTAGTAGTCACTGTTTCTGCTATAGAGGTTGGAAAGAGAAGTAATAATATTGATTCACTGCTTTTTCGTAAGACCATCAATCTTAGAAAGCTTTGTTTTCAACTGTATTTTTCACCTTAAATGGGTCTGATAAGTAAGGCTAAAACCATAAACCATCAGCTGGAATACAGTAAAGAAAATAGTTCAGCTTTCATGGAGTTGAATTATTTTCCGTTTTATATCCTTCCAACTACCTCATAATTTTGTTTATTTCTAATACATATAAACACGCTTCTAATACTTTGATAGATAATTTTAACATAAATAGTTGTTGAGATCCGTTTTCTCGCTCTGATATTTCATACCAATACATCTTCACATCGTAGTGTATCCCAGTCGTATAAAATGTTTCCCGTCAATCATAACATTTCACTTCAAACAAATAGGCTCAAATAGCGAATAACCCACCCACCGTATTATATATACACCAAAGGATCATAGCAAAAAATGAAAACAAGTAAGACACATGATTGCATGAAAATCTTCTGAAGAAAAGTGTACCACAAAAAGAATAGGAAGATTAGTATATATGGTCTCTTCTTTCAGTAAGTGTCATTTATTGTCACATTCACCTGTAATTTACAATTTTCCAACACTAGTTACGACTGCCCTAAGACTTCTGTCATAACTACTCAAAATAAAGGTGTAAACTGTTTCGACGCATTGAGATATAACCTAATAATGCCCGACGCTTTTTCATTTTAAACAATTATCTTATTTTTATGTATGTGCTGGATGAAGTGAGTCTCAGTTTTCCTATATATAGTTATATTTTTGAAAACATCCCTTTCATTTATCAAAAACAGCATAAAATCAAAATGTCGACAGCTACTTCATAATTCTATGTGTATTTAAGAAAAAAACAAAGTGATTCACCGATTCGAAATAAGAAAATGAATTATCAAACGATTATTATATCCCTTATAATAATCTACAGTTACGTGTCATAATCGAAGTGTATATATATATATATACGAATCTATTTTCGCTTTATTTCTGACAGATAACATATAACTTAATTTAGCACTTAAAAATAGGGAGAGAGGTCTAAAAGCATTTCGGTTTGTAATTAGAACAAACAAACGGATTAACGCATATTTTTACGTATCGATTTGTTATAACATTTTACCCAACGCAGGTGAAATTATCTTGTAATACAACAAGGAAGAATGAAACATCATAAGATAAAAACCATATGCTATTGCCACTACCAATTCAGATAATCGTATGATTATCTTTTCTTTAAGAGTATTAAAAGTACAACAGAAATTTCCGCAGTTGATAATCCATATGGCTTTCCATGGAGGTATATACCTTTATTAAAATATATCGATTTCTTCGGTTAAATATAAAGACTAGGAAGTAATCATCCTGAACTAGTTTTCTTGATTTTTTTTCTCGTTGTAGACAAGATTCTAAACGCTAACTTCCTTCTGAAGGGAAGTTTAAGAATTCTTGCCGACTCTATTAACCATTTCTGCTGATTTGCTTGAATGTAATGATTTATTACCTGATAAACCTGATCCATAATTAACATATCTGCTGGTTGTAGATTTTCCTGATTGCCAGGTTTCTAGAATTTCTTTGGTATTCTTACTGTTTTCTGTATTTAACACGTACGAATTTTTGCAATCAGAATGGTGTACACCTTCATCTACATGCACTGACGTGAATGGATAATTTTCATGTGTCTTGACTGTTAGTTTATGTTTATGGATAAACAGATGAAGAAAATGGCTGCTTTTCATGGTTGATGCAATTCATATTACAAATGATATCAGTATTTTCTTCTGCCATTAAGTATTCTAGTTGACAGATTTGACGAACAAGAAGCTAAGAGAAACTTCAGAGATTTTCAGTCAAGTTCTTCAGAGGTGATAATTGTTACTTTCACAGAGAAAGTCTCAAATTCAGGTTAGTGCTGAAACCACTGTCTGGGAGAACAGCGACAGCTTCACAATTAAACTATTCAGTTCAGAGAACATAACAAAAAAAAGGATTCATTGGAGTTACAAATCTTTCTCATCATCTCAGAAACGTGTGAGATGGTTACCTTATTTTTTAATATTGTTCTTGTTATTGTTCAGTTGTCGAATTAATACACTTGATTTTTCTACTTTACTTATAAGTCTTTGCGGGGTATACAAATAAATGATTATTGTTTACTGAATCTGTTGCTGTTAATTTACTTCTTCATTAGTAATGCAAGCATAGAATAAAAGTGTACAATCTGTGAGCAAGAATACATTCACACATCTCAATAGCATTTGACTACAAAGTGATCAGGCAACAGACAGGCACACAAGTGTACAAAACTCCAATACAAGAATCCCCGCTTACATACACATTTACATAATAATTACAAGAATATTAATTGCGACGACAGTTATAATAATACTGGATTAGTTTAGTGAGTTTTTATTGAGGAAGAGAAGTACCACCTCCAGAAAGTATACCAGTTATCAAGTTGTGTATCACCTCGTTTTTACAATCTCATTTAGATTACTATTATTATGGCAGTGAGTCAGTATTTCCTTTTTATTCTCATATTTGAAAAAAGTATTATTGTATGTAAAACTGAATAGTTTAGATTTGAAAAATTTTCTTTTTTCAAAAATAAATAAATTTTCTACATTTTCTCCTACCTGAGATATTTAGACCACGCTAGTTAATATACGCTTCAAATAAGTAGAATAAAAACCCCCGGTTAGTATGTAACAATTAATTCTAACTGTATCTAGTTCTTCAATCTAAAATACAACTTAATAGCATCATCGTTAACTGGTAAAACTGTTTGACAAGATAATAATCACCGTGAATGTTCACCTGTACATTCCGAC